CCGGGCCAGCCACTTTTCTGCTTCAGTTTTCATATATATATATATATATATATTTGTTATGTACAGCTGACTATAAGGTTTGGTTCTGCCTTTAGTTTTCAGTCCCATAAACAGGTCTGCAAGCGGGGGCGGGAGGGGGGAAGGGTACAAAGGGAACTGGGAGCTGAGCCTTCAGCTCACAGCAGGCCTACCTAAGCAATATCTTATCTGTGTTTGCTCTTAAAGTTTGTGGGATTCCTGCAGTGGGAAGACAGCAGTAAGGGGTGGGGCTCTGAGCTGAATTTCATGAGAAATCTGTACACTCTCTTCCATGTTCTGCCTAATACTTAAAATCCAAGATCGGTAAATGCTGACGCAGAAGCTTTATGTCTCACCTGGTCAGCAGGCAGTAGAATACCTCAGGCTCTGCGTGGGGATACGTGAGCCTGGTGGTTCCTCTCACTCATCACTCCTTTTGAATTGTTACATTTCACTTCCAGGAGCTGAGAGTAGTCCTCAAGGGGGTCAGGGCCTTAGAACTGGGGTAGATCAGGGGGAAGTGCAATACAAATCCTGTAGTGGGCTCGGAGTATCCAGTTGCTAACCCTGAATACACAGTTGTCTTGGAAGTAAGACCCATTAGTTGTTACTTCCGAATTAACACGCACATCTGAGAAATCCTGATATTCTTTGCAGGGTCCTTTTCAAAGCAAAATGGGAAGTAACCGTTTGAGCCACAGATCAGAGAACTGGTTGTTGGAAACCCTACATGACAGTAGCCCTGAAGTCATCAGTTTTGTCACCCTTACCTTCTTAGCTTCCCATCATGTCAGAAAATGCACAAATAAGATGGACAGGCCAACATTCAATAAGATGACCATGCAGATGATGATTGTGTTAGGTCCCTAGGAGGAAAACAACAACACAAAGGATATAATATTATCCACTGTTACTGAAAACAAAGACACATATTAGAAATGTTGTCAAAATATTGACTAACAAATGCAATTAACAGGCTGTTTTAATCCACCTCAACTGTTCATGACACAGCTCTAAAACTATCCTAGCTAACAGTTTCCAAAAATGAATGTTTCAGAAAATTAGGATGCATATCTTAAAGAGAAGTGATTCTGAGATTGTTCTATGGAACCCTGAGTTTCCTTGGAAGCTTATCAGGGATTCTACAAAGAGAACATGCAAACATAAAAAGTTCTGCAAGATCAAACCAAAGTTCATCAGTCTATTTCCAACAGTGGCCAGTCCAATGCTTGCAAGAAGCCCACAGAGTATGACACTGATATTTACAGGTACTCTGTCCCTGAACGTGGAAATTCCATTAAGCTACCTTAGTTAATACCTTAGTATTCCCCATTACTATGTATGAGTGTGAAAGTTGGGCAATGAGAAAAGCTGACAGGAAGAAAGTTGATTCATTTGAAATGTGGTGTTGGATGAAAGTTTTGCACATACCGTAGACCACCAAAAGGACAAATAAAATGGGTTCTAGATCAAATCAAGCCTGAACTCTCCCTAGAAGCTAAAATGACTTAACTGAGGCAAGCGTACTTTGGTCACATTATGAAGAGACAGGAGTCACTGGAAAAGACAATAATGCTAGGAGAAATTGAAGGCAGCAGGAAAACAGGAAGACCCAACACGAGATGGATTGATTCAATCAAGATAGATCAAGGTGGGCAGTCGTGTTGGTCTGAAGCAATACAACAAAGTTAGAGTCCAATGGCACCTTTAAGACCAACACATTTCTACTCAAGATGTGAGCTTTCGTGTGCATGCACACTTTGTCATGCACACAAAAGCTCACATCTTGGCTGAGTTCAGACTGGCAGTTTGCCCCGATATAGGCACGTTTCAGAAACGTTCCACAAACGGATTAAAGAGGCCGTTCACACAGGTACATCTGTCAGGCGTTCCCCACCCCTACTCAACCGATCTTGTAACGCTTCGCTCCCAAGTTTAAAAGATACCTGGTGAAAGTGGTATCAAACCCTGGAAAGCGTGATTATCCCGTGTCCATCCCGCACCAACAAAGTTTGAACACCAAAAGCCACTTTTTTCTTATGCATTTATGTGCATATGCGCATAAGCGCTCATGCGCATATCTCCAGATTGCCCAAAGGAAAGCCGCGCCTTACAGCCGTGCCTCCGAGCCAACAGTGTGAACGCTCCCTTGCGCCTCCTCCCAGTATGCTCCCACATCAGTGGCTGTAGTGTGAACGGAAAACCCGGAACAGTTTGTTCCAGCTCTTTTTTGCCATGACTCCCTCCTGCTTCAAACTGCCAGTCTGAACTCGGCCCTTGAATAAGAATTTGTTGGTCTTAAAGATGCCATTGGACTCTAACTTTGTTGTATTGACTCTATCAAGCAAGCCATGACCCTCAGTTTGCAAGACCTGAGCAAGGATATTAATGACAGGACATTTTGGAGGTCATTAATTCATAGGGTCACCAAAAGCTGGAAGTGACTTGGCATCTCTTAACATCCACACATCTTAGTTCAACCTATCCTCCATCACGACCAGTAACAAGATAGCTTGTTCACCATTAGCAGCTTTCCCTTGCCATGTACATAGGGACATGTGACAAGGAGCCTGGCCAATGGCTCATGTCAACTGGGCGCATGCCCAAGAAGAAGCCTCTGAACCCCTTGCAATGTGCAGGAGTTCTAGAACACACACACTGAAGACCCCTTGGATGACAAGACAGGATCTAACAAGATCTAACACTTTTACTCGCTCACTTTCAGACAGGTACCTTGGAAGAGCTGCATCTGTCTAGTTATGGGCACTGGCATGGAGGTAGCGTAGAACACTTTTACTTTGTCAGGTAGAGAAAAGGAAACATGATTCTGGCACTTGGAAAGAAGGAACTGCGGAAACTTAGAAAATGCCAATACTATGTGAGAGGGAGCTGGGGAGAAGAAAGATGGCAGCTTTCGAGGCCCCTAAATCTGGCTCATGGCCTGGCTGCGGGGTTGAGGAAAGACAGGAGGCCTTTGGGATGGTGGCACAAATAAGCAGCTATTCACAGCCTTGGCAATGGATTAAAGAGTGATTTATTTGACGGTGTAGCTAGATAGCGTATATGGGGGTTGAAGCAGAGAAGGGTGCTCATCCCACTTCTTTTTCAGGTGGACTTAAAACTCACTTATTTTTCAATGGATGAAAACCATCCTGGGACATGAATCAGTGATATAATGTGGAAAGTCCTTAAGAAAAAGCTCCAAGTTCATTGACTGACCATTCTGGCTTAGTATATGCCAGCTTTTGAGACTGGGGTGAGTTTTCCTTGCAGCTTCAAATTTTTCAAATAATTATATCCTATATGCATTCTCACTTGTATATATTTTTCAAATATTTACATTCTGTATGCATCCTCATTTGTATATGCTTTGAATTTGCTTTCAGTCCCATTACAGCCATGTTTGAATAAGAATTATTCGAAACGCGGCATCAGGCATCCGGATTACGCGTCGGCTTTTTATGGCTCAGAAAATTTGATGACTTGCACTCCAATTTGGACTCTGATATTGCTTCTATGCTGGAGTAGATACATGGAAAGCCTGTAGACTCTGTTTCTATTATGCTTTATTATTGCACTTTGGCCAATTGATTTATATTATATTTGCTGTTATGCTTATTTGATTTATATTATACTTGCTGTTATGCTTAATTGATCATGATATACTTGCTTATTTGCTTGTGTGTTCATTTTTTGCCAGTGGTGTGGGTTTTTTGCTTCTTGCATTGTACACTGGCTTCCCCCCCCTTTTTTTGGTTGCTTGAATTTAGGATTTTAGCTGTTGAAGGAAGATGAAACTTTTTTCTGAGCAAATCTAGGTAGGAACACCCCAAGTACTTTTCTGTCTAGCCTTTCCCAGGCCAGAGAGCTGGAGCTGAGAGAGACAGGCGCTGCAGAGGCAGGCACTTGGGGAAGGCAGGTTCCTCTTCCTCCAACAATTGAAGCTCCCCAAACTGTCTCTGTCAACGCCTTCCTCCCTCTCCTGATCCACAAAAAGCCCTGCATAAGACAAGAAGATGAAAATAGACTAGTATTGTTTGGTAATGATTTTAAAGACGAAGTATCTAATTCAAGCCTCTTAGCAAATAGAGCAGAAGTGGTTTACACAGCAGTTATACATCTCAAAGATTGTGAATGGTTGTTGTTGTTCAGTCGCACAGTCGAGTCCGACTCTTCGTGACCCCATGGACCAGATCATGCCAGGCCTTCCTGTCTTCCGACGTCCTCTGAAGTTTGCTCAATATTGTGAATGGACCAGAGTCTAAATTGAACCTAGCCTAATTTGAAACGAAACCCTTCATTTCCTTTTTTTCCCCTCCCACTTTAAGCACTGAACTTCTTAAAAAATATCCCAATTAGCAAATAAAATAAAATAAAATCCCAGTCTGGCTAACATTTTACTCTGTTGCCAAAGCACTCCAGGAACACCTTGGCACATCAATATACCTGCAATGAAAAATATGTGACTGTGCCATCCAGTGAAACAATCACATGAGTTCTTTATGTGTGGTTTAGCATTGTTAAGAGCAATTATCTTAATTCCTCTTTACCCAGTGTCTCCCTGAAATCCAACAATCTGTTTCCTTTCCTCTTTTTTAGGAATTTGAGTCTGTTTCTAATCATTTTTAAAATCCATTTTGATCAAAGAAAAATTTGAAGAGAGGAGAGGCAGGATGGGAGGTTCTGCAATTTTTCAGAATTTCCCTCTGTAGAGGCTCAAAGGCAGGCAATGTTTTCCCAGACCTTCCTGTCATCCTGCTAGAGTAGCACACTGTCATGTGTAATATAAAACTGCAAAGACTGAAGTTACAAAAGGGTGCATTGATTTCTCTTAAATAGAAATCAAAGAGAAATTAAAGAGAAATCCCTCTTTTAAAAGAGAAAAAAGTGAGTAAGAGGAATCAATGGCTAAAGAAGTGAATTTCGGAAAAGGAAATTTCCCTCCCTGTTAACAATGTCAAGTGTGGTTAGATTCATCACCTATAAAAGCAGCCCATATTTTAACCCATTTTCCAGATTGTGTGAATGAAGAACAGATAGCGCCCAAACAATATTGATAATAACTAATAACAGATTATTCACACATGTGTGTTTCTCACTTAATAACTGAAGCATCACAGACTTTCATGTATGAATGAACCACTGCGGATCAAACCACAGATAGAACTTCTGTACCACAACAAAAGGAGCTGCGGTGGCTCAAGTGGTTAAGACGCTGAACTGCAGGCTGTGGAAGGTCAGTAGTTCAGCAGTTCGAGACCCGGGTGCTACATGATGGAGTGAGCTCCCATCTCTAGTTCCAGCTCCTGCCAACCTAGCAGTTCGAAAGCAAGAAATTGCAAGTAGATAAATAGGTACCACTTCGGTGGGAAGGTAACAGCATTCCGTGTGCCTTGGTGTTTAGTCATGCCGGCCACATGACCACGGAAACGTCTTCGGACAGCGCTGGCTCTTCGGCTTTGAAACAGAGATGAGCACCGCAACCCTAGAGTCGGATTCGAGTGGCTTTCGAGCAAGGGAACCTTTACCTTTTTTACCACAACAAAGAAGGCAATCGATGGATATGTGAATGGGTCCTCCTCAGCACTATTGTTCCAGGGGGGGAAATCTATTCGGATGGTAATATTTTTTAAAAAAATTATTCAAAGTCAACCTTTGATCTCCATCTGGTCGGCCGAAGTTATTAATAATGTTATTGTACTGTAGTGATTTTAAATGGTTTTAAATATGTTTTATATTGGCTTATGCCTCCTGTAAGCCGCCCTGAGTTCACGTAGCGGGGAGGGCGGGGTATAAATTGAACTTATAAATAAATATAAATAAATAAACCTGGAAAATCAAATAAGACACATACTGACCAATGGAGGCACCACAGGATGCACGAAAATACTCCAGGCTTGTTCTGTTATCAAAGAATGCTCAGTCTTGTGGCAACCCCAAACAAGTTAACATTTTAAACAGAAGACTGCATTCATTTTGACTAGCTGGTACCAGAAATATAAATATGTATTAATGTAAATATGTATGACGTAAAGCAGCACATTCTAAACTATACAGCAGATTTTACAGTAAGAATAAAGTTCTGATACAGTGCGCAGCCTATATGGGGAGCGGGATCAGAAGGAGACAAAAACGCTATCAGTTTCTTCAATCTCTTTTAGATTTACTCAGCTACAGACACTGCCACGCTGTATCTGATGGGATTCACTGGCTGAAGATGAAAGCCAATTACCTGTATTCAGTACATTACAATTTAATCTGATGAAACAAAATATAAAACCCATTCAACCCTGAAACACTAATACTGAAAAGATGTTTCACATCATGCATACACTTTGGTATTTGGACGTGAAAATGATGGGATACTATCAGTGTTCCCTCTAAGCTGAGTTAGTGTGAGCTAGCTCACAGTTTTTTAGCCTCCGGCTCACATTTTTGTCTTAGCTCAGGAAGGAGGGCTCCAGAGCAAACTAATTTATGTGGCAGCCAAATCGCTCGCTCACAACTTTAATGCCAGTAGCTCACAAAGTAGAATTTTTGCTCACAGGACTCCACAGCTTAGAGGGAACATTGGATACTATACGTGATAAATTTAGTTAGGAAAATTCAAACGGTCATTGTTAAATGACTGGTTTCTCCCCCTTCTTCAATCCCCATGACAAGTCCCACTATGCAACCATGTAACATCACCTCTTCATGTTCTTCTACTGCTGGTGCTGTTGCCTCGGTCAGAGGAGCCTTTTTCACCACGGCCTTGGGCTCAGTTTTGGCCACCGTTTTAGGCTCCGTTTTCCGTTCAGGCTTGCCTTCAGTGACGGCCTGTGTTTTCAATTCTACTTTTGATTCAGGCGGCGGATGTTGCTTGGGCTCTGGCTTAGGTTCTGCTCTCAGTGTTTTCTTCTCTTCGTGAGCTGGTTCCTGCTGTTTTGAACAATGGGCGTGATTGCTCTCTTTTGGGGCTCGAATTTGTGTCCAACTTCCTTCACGTCTGCTTTGGGCTCTGAGGAACTTGGCTGGGGAGGTGATTTGGCATCGGGGGATGATTCTTCCTCATCGTCCATTGGGGGTGTCACCGGGGAGGTCCTCACAGCGTAACTGTGATAGCCTTGAAATAATGCAACATCGCCTCCCTGCTGTAGCTTCTGAAGGGGTTTGATCTCCATCTGGCCAGCCGAAGTCCTCACATGGCTATGCCTGCTGGGGCTCCGGGATGGAGGTCTGGTGTTACCTGCTGCCTTCTCCCCTGGTGCCGGAAGTGCATTTGAAGGTGTGTTGGGCCTATTTCCTGTATGACCCCCATCCTTGCTGGGGTCTCCATTCCAGCTCCCAGGGCCAACAAAACCCTCTTTCTGGGAATTCTGCTTAGCACGCTTTGCCTCGGGTGGTGTTCCAGGAGGAGATGGGGTTCGGGCAGTACTCTCCTTCGGCTTGGTGGGCTCTTGTTCATCGACCTGAGGACTTTCTGGAGGTGATGGCGGTGGTGGCTCTTCGATGGGTGGTGTCTCTTCAGCATTCTCTATGTTTTCTTCATTCTCCATTAGTTCTTGGAGCAGCCTTCTTTTCAAGTATTCAGGGCCTAAGGAAGAAAAGAAGAGATATTCAAGTCTCACCCAAATAGAGCCAGACTGGCGTAGTAGTTAGAGTGTCAGACAAGGATCTGGGAGATGCAGTTTCAGATCTCCACTGCCATGGCAGCGTGCTGGGTGACCTTGGGGCAGTCATACACTCTCGCCCTGATCTACCTCACAGGGTGCTTCTGAGCATAAAATGGAAGAGAGGAGAACGCTGTAAGCGGCTTCACATCTCCACTGGGAAGAAAGGCAAAGTATGAATTAATGAATGAAACAGGTGGCCAACGTATGTGACATTTTGGCAAAATTAGAAGACATAAAGGACAAACAAATGAGCGGTGAAAAGACAAAGATACAGGGCTGGTTTATTAAAGCCTAGAATTTCCACAGAAAACACAGGTGTTCGATCTTTGCCCAGCACCAGTGAGCTAATGGAACTTTTGCAGCTGATGCTCTTTATGTTCCAGTTCATAACTTCTGTCATTGGGACGATATAATAATCCATTTTAAGACTGAATGCACATTCTGACAAATGTGGATTTCTAACTTGATCTGTAGAAGTGGGGGGAAAACTTTTGCCTTGAGCAAATCACTTTCCCAGTCATAACGCCACATTTATGAATTGAAAATGGTCAAAGACTATCGGATTGCTGTAAGTCTGATTCAGATAAGAAAATAGAAACTTCCATCTTAGAAATAAGAGAATATATCTTAATGGCGGGGAGGATAAATCACTCTTCCCCAATGTGTTTCTGTTTGCCTCACCACATATGTGTGAAAGCCAGTGTGGGATAGCTATTGGACTAAGATCTAAGACACCCAGGTTCAAATCTTCACTGGCTGATCTTGGGTCAGGCACACCCTCTCAGCTTAAACTACCTCACAGGATTGTTGTGAGGATAAAATGGAGGAGAGGAGAAACATGTAGATTTCTTTGGGTCACCACTGGGGAGAAAGGCAGGGTATAAATGAATTAAATAAATAATAAATAAAATAATAAAAAATAATAAATTAATAGGGTTACTAGCCTTCAGGAGGAACTTGGAGTTTGTTTGGAATTATAACCTATTTCCAGAGGTCAGCTCCCTTGGAGGAAAAAGAAGAAGAAGAAGAAGAAGAAGAAGAAGAAGAAGAAGAAGAAGAAGAAGAAGAAGAAGAAGAAGAAGAAGCAGGAGAAGGAGAAGAAGAAGAAGAAGAAGAAGAAGAAGAAGAGATTGGATTTATACCCCGCCCTTCACTTGGAGTCTCAGAGCGGCTGACAAACTCCTTTCCCTTCCCCTCCCCACAACAGACACCCTGTGAGGTGGGTGGGGCTGAGAGAACTCTGACACAAACTGCTCTTTTTCAAGGACAGCTGTGCCAGAGCTTGTGACTGACCCAAGGTCACATCAGCAGGTGCAAGTGGAGGAGTGGGGAATCAAACCCGGTTCTCCCAGATTAGAGTCCGCGCACTTAACCACTACACCACTACACTACACCAAAAGCAGCTTCAGAAGATGGATGCTCTGGTGTGACATCCCTGTTGAGCTCACTCTCCTCCCCAAAGTCTACACTCCCCAGCCACCCTCCATCCCCAATCTCCAGGAATTTCCCAAGCTGGAGATGGCAACCTTATGATAGATAAGGTTACCTGAATTGCTGAAATAACTATATAACCTGTTATTTGGAGTACCAAAAGTCTGTTTATTATTTTTTGCCTGTTCTTATCATCTTACAAATGTGGGCCCGATTTCAGATTTCATCTCTCTTCCTTTCCCTCAGAAATGAATAAAGGCCTCTCTCAGACTTTTGTATACTTTGGCTTAAGTTGGTCCTTTCACTAGCAATGCTTTCCACATATCTATGTAGGCTTGCCAGTCCCCAGGTGTGGGCAGGGGACCCCCCCCCCCCAGTTTCAGGGGCTTCTCCCCATCGTGAACCAGCTGGCTGGCAACGGAAACCCCACCCCTAAACAGGGACATCGCCACTGTCCCCAATGAGACAACATCACCTGGAAGTGATACTTGTGCAGGGATGCTCTGGTATTTGGGCAAACTCTATGGTTTGAGGGCAAACCTATAGATTTTCACCCAAATACCAGAGTGTCATTGCGTCAGGGATGTCACACGACATCCCTGCCCATCCCTGGAACGCCTCCCAAATCCCCCCCACCAGAGCGATGAGGGGACCTTGCAACTCTATGTAATTTCCTTTTGCCTGATAGAAGCCCCTTTCAATCAGCCATTACATGAGGAATATACTTAGGGATGGGATGCCAGGCCTCCTGTCTTGTCGCCCACCAGAGCCTCAGGAAACTGGGAGAGGGACACATGCCAGCATCATGCTGGCAAACTTATGTCACTTCCAGTGAAAGCCGGAAGTGACACGGCAGGCACTCTAGCATTTTGCAAAAACATTATCGTAAAATCATAGAGCTTTTGCAATATGTTATGGTGTCCAACATTCAATGGAAATGGCATAAGCACACAGATGCAATGCTGTTGCATCAGGCCGCGCTTCCCCCATTTCCTTCTGGGGGTTGCTGACTGGCCTGGCACCCCTGAATAATCATCTGTATAGCAGGTCTAGTGGGGATGGAAAGAAGCCCTACATGCTGCAGAGCCACATAAGACACAGTATGCGCAGTTGCGGGGGTAACTTGGCCATCTACTGTCTTGTGAGGAATGGTGGCATGTTTGATTTGGCATATTGCCCTGCATATGAATAAAGGGCAGCCATTCACTTACATGGAAGCAATAGAAATTAATGGAACGGGAATGTGGCAAAAAGGAAGAGTCCAAGGAGGCACTTTTTATACTGAGTCTATGCTTGTAATTTTAACTCTCTGTGGAAAAGTCAGTTTCCTTCTCCTCCTTTCCTTTTATTAAGAAGTTTCTTTGCCCAAAGGTTCTTCAGCATAAAACTAGTACAACAGAAGAAAATAAAACACAGCGTTCTTTTATTTTTCTGTTTTACTGGCTACTGTAATGTTTACAATATATTAGACTGTTTTCACTTCATTCTCCTCTAATGGTGGAAATCCAGTTTCATTGCATTGTTTATAGTATGTGTTATACTGGTCTTTATTGCATTCTTTTTATAGGTCTATAAACTCGGCTTTGAGTCCCAATAAGAAAGGCAGATGATAAATGAACTAAATAAATAAACAAAGTAAAAGGCCTTCCTGGTGGCCTTGGTGTCTGCGTTAAGGGAAGGCCCTAAATTCTAGCTCCCTAGAACTCAGTAAGATCTACTGATAAGTGAAATAGTCTCCATTTGCATAGCAAAACCCTCAGTAACAGTTCTTGGTATGATGCTAGGCTTCCCATTTGCCTGTCCAGGGCAAGAAATTACCTGACCCCAGCCCCAATTTACTATCCCTAACTGAGAAAAAAGGAGAAAAAGTGACTTTCACATAATTGCATTCTAGGAATTTCTGCAGTCTTTATGGTAAAGTATCACTCAGAAGTGACGACACATCCTTTGCAAACTCTACCCTCCCCTGGCAGGTATGGCCTCTCCCAATCTCCTGGCATTTGCTGAGGAAATGTTGGGAACCCTATATGACGCTACAGCACGAATCTTGGGAACTTCTGTAGTTGCTTAGCAAAGGGCACTGATGGAATTCATTTCTTAAAGCTACAGGCACCATTTCTATCATGGGGGGGGGCATTTAGCCTCCCCAATGTATTTTCTTCTAGATTTCAGATTTTTCTACAAATCAGGGGGTGTTCTCAGGTTTGTAGGTAGATCTGTCTTGTCTGTCAATGGCCCCAATCTCTGGATTTAAGTATCCACATATAGAGCCACATTGGGAATTAGAAATAGCGATATTATAATAAGGCTGCTTGGTCGAATGGAACTCCCTATATTAGAACCAATCAGTCTCCCAGCAGTGTCAAGATAAGGAGCAGTCCTGGGGCCTCAAATAATAGCTATAAGTCTTTGACAACATGTCTGTATAAGAATGTTAAGGGCACTAGGAAAGGGGTGGTTGAGAAAAATACTGCAGAAGCTTGGGCTGGTGTAATGAGAGCTGTCCAGTTCTGTGCACTGCCCATAATAAGGTCACCTGGGGCACCCTGATCCTGTTGAAATCACTGGAAAAGTTGACCTGACAAGGTGACTTCTGGATTTAGGTTTCATTCTGTCCTTATTTGACTGGGTTGTATCATTGTCTCCTAGCAGCACAGCCATGGGCTACTGTGACAGACTACATTTTAAAAGCTTAGAAGTGCTGTACAAACAGCTAAAGGACTGGGAAGGGTTAATTCTTCACAGAAACAGAGAGCCTTAAGTGACAGGCTGCTCCAAGCAATCTGATTGGTTAGCATCAGCTGAATAGAGAGACGCTTTAAACATGAATGCTGAGGAGGAAAATTCATTCAGAATTCAGCCCTGACTGAGAGCAGTTTAACACAGAGAGGAGAACTGGAGAAAGTTGGCAAGGATGAGTGGGTAGTTAGACAGAGACTCCCATTCGGGCAAAGGAAAGGGGATAGATCTTCTAGAGAGAGAAGAAAATTCCCTACCCAGTTAAACAGGGAGTTAGCTCTGAAGAGTGCAGAGACCCCTGGTCTGGTGTGGTTAGAAACTGCCTTTAGAGACCTTAAGAGTCAGTTTAAAAACTCAAGACAAGAACTGGTGTTTCAAGAGAAGGGGTTTGGATACTGGACAGAGTGTACCAGCCTCCTGGAAACCAAAAGAGTCAGAGAATATTCAAAGAAAGTGTACTGAAATGTTTGGGGGAAACACTGGAACAAAAACCTCTCAACATAAAGATTTTAAGTAACTGTGAAAAGCTTAAGAAACTCTCATTAGCCTGAAATATAAGTACTAAAGTCTGTGCATGTACTGATTTTACCTCAGAAATTTTAGCCCTTGATTTTACCTGACCTTTCCCCTCTATGTTAAATAAAATATTCTGTTAATTTGGAATATAAGAACGTCTTGAGTGCCATTAAAGTTAAAGGGGGCTCCCAATCCTTCCCTCAGGTTCCTGGGCTGAGCGAACAGCCAAAATATT